GACTTTCTTTCTGCTCCTACTCTCTCTCCTCTCTTCTCTCTCTCCCTCGCTCAGTCTTCTCTCTCCCTCTCTGCGAGGTCTGTCTCTCTCTCTCTCTCCCCTCTCTCGTCCCTCCTCTCTCCTGCTCTCTCTCCCTCTCCGCGTACGCTTTTACCATTCTCGCTGCTCATCTCTCTGCTCGCTACTCACTCCCTATTCTTCTCTTCTCCCCTCTCTCGTTCATCATCTTCTCCTCGCTCTGCCTCCCGCTCTTGCGCAAGCGTTTTAAATCTTCTCTCTTCTCTCCCTCTCGCTCTCGTCCTACTCCTCTCTCACTCTCGTAATCGTTATGATAAGTCGTGTGTCCCCCGCTTCAACAGGCAACGGACTATAATGAACAGCGACTCGCTTTAATAACGATTAAAACGACATGCTTTTTATAAACAATCCTACAACAAGTTGCCATCATTTTAACCGCTTAATCCGAACATTTCGGATCGCGTGTTGCCCGGACCGCGTCCCGAGTAACGCGATATCCGCCTGTATTATATTTATCATTGTAGGCGCGTGTTCATTCGGCACTACCGTAGTAAAAAGGTCTGTAATAGACTAGAGAGAGGCATAAGACATAGGTCAAGAATAACGTCACTTAGTGTTACACTATCATCATATACAAACATGAGCCAGTGTACTACCGTAATCGAAAGAGCGTTTCGACTACATAGCACTTGTATCACGCATCTACACCTTTCTCAGCGGTGTTTGTAACCGCAAAGAGGGTCCGCCGCAGAAGTCGCTGCTCTTCTATTTATACCGGCGTTCCCGTTCTCCTACCCGTCACTTCTCGTTATAGCTCCCTTTTCTGGCCAGAACCGGCCATTATAAATACGGTTGGGGTGAGTTATTACAAACTGCTATAAAAGACAAAAACATTACCCTACCGGAATATGGTGGTGTATACAGCGTTCCTACATTTTGGCTCGACTCATGTCCTGATTCCTGGGCCAACGATGTCATAGATCATCTGGTCAGTGTCTAGGCTGTCACACGATGCCGCAAACTCGCAAGAATCTTCGGGGAACGCTTAGGCCGTGGGTTTGAGCTATTGCGCTTCCCCTCCGCGTTCCGGCTTGCTTGATCCCTGAGGGCGTCCCCCACTCACAGCCGTTGTGACATCTCTTACCGAATCACTGACGGCGCCAAGGATTGCGTTTCCCCGCATCGCCACACTTTCCCCTGGCGTGTGGGTTGTGCCAGCTTACCATATGCATACTTGTTTATGCGTTCAGCGATATGTTATCGTGTCGGCGATCTTTGTCAATCGTTGTCTTATGTCGTAGTGTGCATTGTTGTCTCGTGTTATCGTCGTTCGCCAGGGTCGTCGTCGTACATCTGTATTTTTGAGTAGTTAGTAGTAGTAGTATAGTGTAGTATAAGTATAGAAGTAGTAGTAGTATATGTAGGGTAGTAGTAGGTAGTAGTAGGTAGTAGTAGTAGTGAGTAGTATAGTCGTAGTAGAGGCAGTAGTAGTAGTAAGTAGTAGTAGTAGTAGTAGTAAGAGTAGTAGTCGTAGTAGTGTACAGTAGTTGTTGTCGTTTGTTGTTGTTGTGTTGTTGTGTTTGTTGTGTTGTTGTTGCTGCCGCGTTGTCGCAGTACTGCACACAAGGCCCTTCCATGGTCATATGTTTCGCTTCGAAATTTGTTCGTATGTTACATTATCATCGTCCAATTCATGCTTGTCATATTCATATCGTCCATCATGCGTATTATTCATAAGCATCCTTGAAATCATAACTTTCGCAATCATCGGTCAGATCACCACATTGTCAACCTCATAATCTTGCGTCAGTAGTGGCACAGCAGCAACACCGCGTCATGCATCAGCATTAGCGTCATCATGCATCATTTATCCTCCATTGCTAGCGTCAGCCGCAACTACCCCAATAATACGCATAACCATTATCACACATCACGCATCAGAATCTCAACGGTTATTCAGTCGCTGCCATCCGTTTTTCGCTCGTCTATCAGTTTACGCGGGTCGTTATTCGCAAGTAACGAGTGCGCGCCTCTCTGTGAGAGTGCCTGGGTGCCGGTGTACGTGACATGCGCCACATAAATCAACGACTGGCTCATAGTAGAGACGTCAACAACGACCCAATCAAGCCGAAGAAGCCCATTCTCCGCATCAGATTGATAACGGTCCAGCTATCTGTGACGTTCATTGTTTTACATCAGTCTCTGAAACGTCGCCATCCATCCCCGCTAGGTCGCTAGCCAACTCTAACGGCCAGCCCGTGACTGACGTATATAGTGGTCGCCAAGATTGCCCGCGGAATTCATACGATACGCCACGGACCACGCTCGTGCCAAGCAGTGTCGACGCAATTGGTTTTCAGTCTGTCCCCGTGCACTACTTACCGTCATAATGAGTCCTTTGTCGTCCACGGACGCGTTGGGATCTGCAATAAAAAGGAAACAGCTAATGATTTTTGAGGACCGGCGATATAAAGTGCCGTCGACTGAAGGCAACGACCCGCAAAACTGCGACGGAGCGATGATCACATTTATGCAAACCTCCCCGGCCAGCCCGAGTAACATTTTGTTACGTTTCCCTCGGTGGTTTCATGCAGCCGCTGAAATAACCGAATGCCAGCAGTAACACCTGTGCGATGCTGGGGGACCCATAGTTCACCACGTCGGAGTCAGCGACACGAATGTGTTTGTATATGAATCTCTCGCCCTTTCCCTCTCCCCTCTCTTTTTCTCTTTCCATTTTAATTCTATTCCTATCTCTATTTCTCGTTTCATTTTTTTTTTCTCTTTTTGTTTCTATTTCTCTTTCTCTTTCTCTTTCTCTTTCTCTCTCTCTCTTTCTTTTTCTCTTTCTCTTTCTCTTTCTATTTCTCTCTCTCTCTTTCTTTTTCTCTTACATCTGACTCTGACTCTACCCTGTCTCGTTGTCATTCTTTAGTCTTTTCTCTGTATTCACGTCAATTCCTCTTGTTCTCTGCCCTTCTATCCACATCTCCGCTAAGAGATCTACTAATCAGACCACATGCTGTGATCATGTGCGTGGCACAACCGCGTACTCAGTATTCTGTCATGAATAAATCTAAGATGCCGCGACGGGTCATTTGTGTGTACAACTCTACCGCATTACCACGACACAGCCGCGCACGCCGCCTCTCCTCTTCCTTCGTCAGAGAAACGCTATCCCGAATAACGTCGCAAACCCTAATTAAGTCACGCGCCGACAATACGTATCTAATCACCTAACCCGCCGCTACACCACAATCACATACCCCGGGCGGCCTCGCCAGCCCGCCAGCACTTGTCTCTAGCTGAGTAACGCACGATAGCCTGCGTGCATGAGCCGCTCGCTCGAACCTATGAGAAGGAGATAGCAGTAATTACACATCCAGATTGTTTGAGAAGGTGACAGCAGTAACTTTACATCCATGTTATGTGACGAAAGAGACAGCGGTAGAATCCATATCTAGACTATGTGAGAGAGAGACCGCGGTAACTACGCAGACACCAGTTTCCCATACACGTCCCATTAATGCATGTACGTGTGTGCGTGGCTACATGCGTGTGCCGTGTGCATGAAAAAATACTCACCGTAAATTATACAATCAGGCGTCGATGGCAACACACATACAAACGCATGTGTGTGTGTCAGGCGGGAAAGGATCTGCGCATGCGCAGAACACGAACGCATCTACGTATACATACGAAATTGCGTATGCATATATATTTACGTTACAGCGGATACGCTGATCACTTTGGGTGAATTATGAAGATATTTAATATCATTTATGACATCATAATGTTCACAATATAACAGCAGCAGCAATTGGCAATTTCATTAGGACGGCAGTGTGCGGTAAATCACCCCCTACCACATTACAGAGTAGCAGAGAGCGATGCATATGCACGTACATGATATTGATCAGGGGTTAATAATGACAAATTTGTCAATCAATAAAATGTCATCAAATAATGATAATTTGTCATTAGTAACCCCTGATATTGATGTATATTATGTATCATACGTATGCTATGATCATAATACAGTGGGTGTTAGTATCTCCTTGTCCCGTCATTCGATATTTGTAATAATTAGCTTACAAAATAATATTTTAATTGACAAGTTTTGATCTACGTTAATGCGTTTTGTAATATATTATTATAAAAAAACAACGAATAGTATTATGTTGTTATGACACATCATGTACACCCATGTACACCCCCCCCCCCAAAGCAAAAAAAATTTGTTGTTGAAAATTTGCAAGAATTTCACCTCAGGTCGCTCCATTTTAGTGTAATAATTTCAAAATCTCCATCGTGGCGGGAGGGTGAACAGTGAACACCCCCTCCACACCCTCCCCCGCTCGGTCCTTGGCTCCCTCAGCCTGGCCGCTTCGCGCCCGAGCAGGGGCGTGTACAGGGGGGGTCCAGGGAGTCCGGACCCCCCTTGCCTCGCGCAGAAAACGCACTCTGAAGGGTGTAATTTAAAAATTTCTGGGAGGAGGCCCCCAAACCCCGCCTTCGCGTGCTCGCAACTTTCGGTTACGGTTAGACCGCCCCCTGTACAAATCCGTACACCGCCCTTGCCGAGCACTTGCCAACATTTGAAAAAACGAACCCCCCCCCCCCCAATATAAAGCTGGCTACGGGCCTGCCATGTACACGTAACCTGTATGAGATCTAAGGCAACAGCGTAAGCGTCGTTTCGCTGTTAGCCGTTATCACCATGCAGCCATTCCAGACTAGCAGCGCCGACTGATTCTACGTTATACCGGTCAACGTAACGAGCACATGCACCCCTCGATATGTCGCCGTATAGATGGAAGCAAAATATGCCGCGGTTTGGTAAACAGACGGGACCGAAGTGGTGGTTAGGTTAAGTGCGTGTAGTAGTTTTCCTAACCGCTCTACATTATTCGCAGCGGGTCATGCAGACGCATGCATCTGAAGGCATCCATGATATAGGTTATTAGTTAAAAGTGTTCATAGCAATAATTTCGGCTTCCGTAACATTTATAAATCTAGCCGCCATTTTTGGCGCCAATACAATGTAAACCCTAGAGGTGATTATCAAAATATATTCACCTAGGTCTCGACCAATCAGCGCGCAGGATTTCCTATAATCACTCGGGCGATGATACAAATAAAAATTATTATTGTTATTATTATTAGTAGTAGTAGTAGTAGTATTATGATTATCATTATTATGGTGTACAGAGAATGGCGTTTTGCATGTTCATGCAGAAATACGCGCGGTGCGATACTTGGTGCTTTGCGTCAACTATATCTGACTAAGCCGACTATATTTATACGTAATCCCACCCGCATTCATGCGCGCCGACGTGACAGGCACCGTCTTGATTAACGTTTTGTCGCCAGACAATGAAATTGCTGCAATACGAAATATTACTCATCGCTGCCAGTTCGGTGTTAATCTGTGCAGAAGACGTCACATGATACAAAATGGTGTCGTTTCCCGTCTCACTTCGGTGGAAGGATGGCAGGGGGAGTACGGGACGACGTCACATGACACAAAATGATGTCACGCCTTGTTCCTTCCGGTGGAAGGGATGCAGGGGGGAGTGCGGACGACGTCACATTACACAAAATGGTGTCACGCCTTGTTCCCTTCGGTGGAAGCATGGCATGGGCAGTACGGACGACGTCACATTACACAAAATGGTGTCACGCCTTGTTCCTTCCGCTGGAAGGGATGGCAGGGGAGTGCCGACGACTTCACGGGAAACAAAATGGTGTCGTTTTCCCGTCGCTTTCTGTGGAATGATGGCGGGTGTAGGTTCGCGGCTGGAGAGGATAATTAGCTCGCCACAAAACATCGTTTCCCACGAGGAACACAACAAATCTGTTAGATCTTCTCGTTCGTAAGACTTCCGTGCAGCTAACGTTGTTTCTCTGACGACGTTAATGTGCAGAATGATTGCGAAAGAGAGAAGCGGTTCGGCCATCTGTTCGACGTTTTGAGCATTAGCGCAAATTATAGAAGGCGCTGCGAGCTTGATTTCAAGGCACTGGTTCATAACATTGTATCTGCAAATACAATGTCTATATGATATATATGTATAATGTATAGTGTATAGTGTATATATATATATCCACGACGAAGGAATACAAGACTGCCGCCAAAGCCCTAGACACACGACGACACCGACAGAACCTTCCACACGAATTCCTAGCAGACACAGCAGAACTGAGCTCTGACCAAGAACAACTTTCAGTTCAACAACACGCACTATTACAAATACAAGGCACAGCTATGCTCCAAAATGCACCGTCTTATCCAGCCACCTCTTCATGGCTAATCTAGAACGCAAGTTTCTATCATCCGCAACACACCAACCGCTCATCTGGAAGAGATATATTGACGATATACTTCGTTATCTGGACCCATGGCACCTATGCCTGGGACTCTTTGCACAAACCTCAATAGATTCCATCCTACCATCAAATTCACGGAATCGCAACAGCTCGCTATGCCTCCCCTTTCTAGACGTACGGGTAATCATCGACAAGGGGTCCCTACACACAGACGTGTACTGTAACCCACAGACTGCCACCCATACTCAGGACAGATGCTGCTCACCAAAGGCACTCATAGACAACATCCCGCTACGGGCAATTCCTCCGCCTAAAAAGGATCTGCTCAACACACGCGCGTTTCCGACACGCGCTGCCAGGAGTTTCAAGCACCTGTTCCTAAACGGGGCTACAATTCAGACCTGCTAGATAAGTCCATACAAAAAGCGTCACAATGCTCACGAGGAATCACTGCTAAAACCCAAAACCAAAAGCAACAAACACAAACCTAGAGAATTCCCCTTTATCATGGAATACAACCCCAGCAACCCGACAAGATCAAACAGATCATCCAAAACACTGGCACGTTCTATCGCCTCACCGGCCCTTGAACCCACTTCCGACCATCCGCCTATCTTCGCCCTAAGCAGAGGAAAAAATTTGAACGGACGCGCTCATTACGCGCAAAAATTTCCCCCCCACACCCTACCCTCAGCTCACCCAGGCTAATGGTCCGACCCTCCACGCCAGGCACACGCCCATGCAGGCGTACTCGCTGCTCCACGTGCAGCACGGTCAACTCACACACGGTCTTACCCTTCCCTCGCCCCCATCCGGAAATACATCACGCATTCCTTCACATTCATCTCCACAAACCTCGTCTACGAAATCTCTGTCCAAATGCCCCGCGGCATATACATAGGAGAGACACAGCGTAAACTCAAGGATCGCATAGTTGAACACCTCCGTGACATACCAAACGAGACATGAGCAGACCCGTTAGTGCTCATTTACAGCGACACCACACCGCAGCGGATTTTCAGTGCAGGGGCCTTGAAAAATTTTTCTCGGACCCAACCCGAACATCCACGCACGATCCGCAACAGAAAGAAAA